AACTGAGCTAACGGGCTAACTGAGCTAATGAGCTAACTGGGGTACCTGAGCTAACTAGGCTAACTGAGCTAACGGGCTAACTGAGCTAATGAGCTAACTGGGGTACCTGAGCTAACTAGGCTAACTGAGCTAACGGGCTAACTGAGCTAATGAGCTAACTGGGGTACCTGAGCTAACTAGGCTAACTGAGCTAACTGGGCTAACAGGACTGCAGCTGTTGGAGGCTGACCTGTTGGGAAACAGCATAAAAAAGCATTAAAATGTCCAGAATCTTTTAGATTAGATTAAAGTCACGAGGGCGGCTGCCGGAGTTCTGTTTTCTTATCTCGAAGGTCTCTGAAACTATTTACGACTGAATTTTTTTTTACCTGGAATTGCTTTACGAGAATGTAAAACAGAGCGGTAACCTTCAAGCTGGGGGAAAAAACGTTGTTAATCCTCTGCGTAAAACCAAACGTGAACTTTTAAAAGCCGTTAAAATGTCGTCCGGCGCCTCTGCAGGGACAATCTTCTGTCGTCAGAAACTTTTCCACGGCCTGAGGAGGCCCGGCGGCGCCACCGATGAAYACCTGAGTTTACCTGCTCCACATTTATTCCTCTTCTCCAGCCAGATGTTGTTGCTTTTTTATTAATTTTTCGTTTTCTTTGGATTCCCGTGTGCCTGAAAGTCTTCCTGAGTGACGACAGCGGTTGTATTTTAGAAGAACTGATTGATAAATATTTACACTCAGCTGTGTGAGCCTTTCTTTGCTGTAGCTTAAAAAAACATTTTGAGTTTCTGTGATTTAAAACTGATTYGTGTCACTGCTTATAATAAACTTTAACCCAGTAATCCTGCAGATTATCAGATTTCTGGTGTGTAACTGAGGTCAGTCTTGTGTTTGTGGTATGTTCTTGTTTGCGAGGGTGCGTCTTGTTTGTCAACGTCTAATTACACGGCAGCAGGCAGAAGTATTTCCTGTCAGGACTTTCTGCAGAATGCTGCAGGAAAAGAAGCTGAAAATGACTCTTAAAATTCATTCAAACTATGAAATCAAACAAAAACMTTCATCCTGAGGGTACGCACTCAACGTAAACAAAGCCTTCACTTACAGGCCTGAAGAGAAAGTCCTGAGCTCAGATTATTTTAGCAGAAAGAGACGAGAAAGCATAAATATTTCCATGGAGTAAGAAAAGTCTGACGGCTCAGAAGTTAATCTGTCTCTGTGTCGTAAATCTGCAAAAAAATTTAAAGCCTTAGCTGATACAGTAGCCAAAGGCTAGCTAAAAGTAGCCACAATTAAAAATAAGACTAGCTAAAAGTAGTGAAAGGTGAGCTGAAAGTACCAAAAGATTAGCTAAATGTAGCAACAGCTAAAAGTGTCATTCCAGCTTATAGTAGTAAAAGGGAAAGCTAAAAATAGCTAAAGGTCGTAACGATCAATAGCAATGCTTAAAAGCAGGTTCAGTCTAGTTTAATGTTAGCAAAAGGATAGCTTAAAACAGCAACCACTAAAAGTAGTCAAAGCAAAAGGCTAGCTAAAATATAAAGCAGAATAATGGAAATAATAAAATAGCCGCAGTTAAAAAAAGACTAGTTAAAATTTATAAAAATTAAGCTAAAGTAGCAAAATCCTAGATGAAGTAGCTAYATTGAGTTAACAGTAGCAAAAGCTAAAAGTAGCAATGTTAAAGTAGGCTAAAGCCAGCTAAAAGTGTTAAAATCAAGCTAAATATAGCAAAAGGCAAGCTAAAAATCATGAAGGACTAGCTAAAGGTAATAAAAGGGAGGCTAGAAGTAAAACTAATTTGTTGTACTGAGAAAATATTTATATTTTTTAATTTGCTAATGTTGAATAATGCAGCAACAGATCTCTGGCTATCAGAAATATAAATTGTTTATTCTTTAAATTCCACTTTAATAAAAGAAAAACAATCAGTTTATTTTATATTACTCTGTTTAATAAGGGGCAAAAATGAACAGGTTTTTCTGTAAATACAAAATGGACATGTCAGTATTTTCAATTTTCACCACATTAAATCACATCTCTTTCTCTTTCTGTGCTGATATTTACAGTTTGCAGAAACATTTCCTGCTAAAACAGCGTGTAGGTATTTACTGTATGTATGACACTTCAAATGAACTGTAGCTGAACTACAGAGAACCGGAGTCAGTAAACAAAAATCACTAAATATACTTCAAAAGTTACTGTAGCTGAACTACAGAGGCCGGAGTCCTTATAACACACACACACACACACACACACACACACACACAGAGGTATACAACAGTTAAACAGTACACTTGTTAAAAACAGCAAAGTTTTAGACAGAATGAAAATAAAGAAGTAAGTCGGGTGTATTTTCAGACTGTGTGGTTTTCCTGACAATGCCCATCCCTTAAAAATAAAAAAAGTTTTAGAGTCTTCCCTCCTCATGGTGAAAAATGTACAAGTCCTACCCACAGTCCCATYCCACTGGTCTGTGGTTTGGTCCAAGGAGTAAAAATATCCACTGGTTCAGTTCAGCTCCTAAAGTTTCACAGATGTGCTTCTTTCTCCCAAAGCATCGAAGTAACGAAGACTAAATGTCCAGCAGGTAAACACAACAAACAGATTCCCATGAAGGAAAGGAAAGTTCACAGCCTGTAATTTACTTCCTGTTCAAAAAACTGTAGAGTTAAAAAAATGGTTTAAAATTTCAGAAAATGTTCTTTAGTTTACAAAAACAAAACAGCATCAAACTTCATCATAAGGGCTTTTTAAAAACAAAATCAATAAAATCGGACATTTTAGATTCTTACATTTGTTTTACATGATTTTTACTTTCCTGACAGAAAAAAAAAAAAACACGTGGAACAAAGTTCACTTAACGTGAAACACGTACGTCACGTGTTCCTTGAACAGAACTTCGTGTTAGTTTAACATGTTTTCACCCATGTAAACTTGTAAAGTTTACAGGTTGTTTTCACTTTTCCCATATTTCTTTACATGAAGTTCATATGTGAAGGTTTAACATAAAAACGTTTTAATTTAACATGGGAAAAGTTTTTGTAATAATGTGTTTGTTTTTCTGTAAGGGTTCATGATCAGCAGTTTATTCTTATCCTAAATGTTTATATTTTTCAAGCACATGAAGCTGACATTAATGTAGTTTCTAATGGGTTCCTATAGTTGGGGGTTTACCCGTCATCCACACTGTTTAAAACTCTCAATCCAATCTTAGAAGAAGCTTTTATTTTCTTTAAGATATCCTCTCACTAAACTGACTGTCGGCCTCAACTATGAACAACTTCTTTCGAGAAACTTCAAAATGTCTCAAAACWTTCCCGACTTTCAATCGAGTGTCGCAAGGCCTCGTTCTCCCGTTGCTGGAATTTGGAACAAGTTTGAAAAGTGACAGACTTTCTCTCAAAATTGTTGCAGGTGTCTCAAATCAGTCTCAAATCAGTCCCAATTTAGTTTATGTGAGTCAGAACTGTGGGAGGGCTCGTAGACTGTTTTGCACATTATTAGAAGAGATTTAATTCCAGTTAACGTGCATTTACAAAAGTGCCAATTYGGTGTGACTTCAGGCACAAATGTGCGTATTTTTATGGCATTCATGTCTCCAGCTGTTCGCCAACAGTCGCAGCCCAGTGCCAGGCTTGCTTGAGAAGTCCAAAAGCACACACACAAAAAAATAAATAAACCATTAGACAGAAACATATAGAAAATATATAGTTTTCCCTTATCCCACGTTAAAGTTTAAAAAGTTTTTAACTTTCTGTGACGAGCAGAGGTGAGGTAAACCATGTTCTTAGGAGTCAACACAGTGGCTGAAGAAAATGTTGCTCTGCAGGTTAATCTCGTTCTGAGTTTCATTCCGCTGTAAACACTGGTCTGTCATCAGACACACCTCGCACGCAGGTGGATGTGGAAACTTCTCACATACCATCGCTATGACTGAGTAGAAGTTCTGGTTTGGCAGGAGAGATGATATGTAAAAAAAAAAAAAAGTTCATCAGTCTTTGAACAGCCCCAGTTTCCTAAGGGCRTCCCTGCGCGAGTCGTCCATGGCGCCCCGTCCGCAAAACTGCACAGTTATCCCCTGAGGACGGAACATAGAGCTGGGCTTCCGCTTGTGATCGGGGGACAGGGCCCGAGCAGGCGACTTCGGGGGGAAATTCATRCCTTGGTAGGAGCTTCGAGGAGGTCTAGGGGCCGTGGCTGGAGGTGGAGATTTGGCACTTTTAACAGAGCTGCTTATTGGCTGACTGGACCTGTTGATGAGGTTGATGCTTCGGCTCTTCCCTCCATAGCTGTTGAGCTCAGCGAGTTGTGGCTCCAGTTTAGGAGGCATAGATTGGGTCTTGTCGATGTGGGAGCTGAGGATGTCGGGAAGATTGGTCCTGGTTACAGGTGCAGGGGCCGGTGCAGGTGCAGGGGCCAGAGCAGGTGCAGGGGCCGATGCAGGTGCAGGGGCCATGACTTTAGACTTTCCTCCATAGGAGTTTAGCTCAATGGGGTAAGACAGTGTAGGGCTTTTAGGTTCAGGGCTGGTTGGATGGGTCGTAGATTCATTCTTTGGGGAAACCGCAGGATGGACAATGACGGATTTCCCTCCGTAGCTGTTAAACGCCAACTTAGTAACGTCAGTTGAAGGCGGGGAATGAGGGGCAGCTGTTGGAGATGATGGCTTCTCCTGGTAGCTTTTCTCAGCATGGCTCTTAGGGGGATATGTCGGCGACATTTCAATCTTCCTGTCACTGTGAAAGTAGCTTGGAGGTGGTACTGAAGCATTTTGTTCTGGCGAGCTGAAGCCCTTTTGTATGACCGGGGCCACACTGGGCTCTACAGTTTTGGCACTAGAGTCTGGGTTTTTGGTGAGACTCTTTGAAGTGTTGTCAGGGGTCTTATGGAATGAGCTGGCTCTTTTCCTGTCCAAGCCCAGCTTAGACAAAGCCTCCATCCTGGACTTGTCTGGTTCGGGGTCRTTAAATGATATACAGCGAGTCGGGGTGTTTTGTTCCGTCTGCTCCGTAGCTTGCTGAGTGTTGTTTGACATCAGAGGGTAGGAGATAGCCGGTAGGTTTGACAGCACCTGCCTCTCGTGGAGGTTTAGGTTGGGCGCCGAGTTGTGCTGCTCCTTGTTGCCRTAATTTATGTTAATGTTCGAAGGGTAGCGGCTGTGTTTAACGGCAGCATGTTTGGCATGAACGTTGGACCTGTTGCCCGCCTTGTCAGAAGCCGAGCTAAGACGACGAAGTAACGTGGAGGGATGCAAGACTGCACTTCCTTCTCCTTTGTTCTCAGCTATCTTCCGAGCAATCAAGACAGGGGTGGGGACAGAACCAGGGGGATGGTAGGAGGAGTAACCRTCCGTAGATCCATAGCTTCCACCTGGTAGGGGACGATCATACTCTGAAGGCAAGCTGTCACGTATGGGCTTCACCTCAAAGTGGCTTTCAGGAGCTGGTAGTAAATGTTGAAAATCTGGAAGATAGAGAATGTTGAAGATTTAGAAAGTAATTCTTTAGGTAGATAAAACTTGGTTAACTTGAGCTACAAACAAGATCTAAAGCTCTACCTGGGTTAGCGGGGTTGAAGGTTGGTTCTTGATTATTTACATTTGTTTTTTGGTGGACCAGGTCAATTATATCCTGATGAGACGACGCATTCACACTGTGGTTTGAGCTCAGATTTTGGACTCCATCTACACGATCGAAAAGATCCCCCCTGCTTCTAGGGAGCGTCACCTGCCTAGGCCTCCGGTTATCGACCTCCAGACTCTCCTCCAACGATTCGATGGTATCCTCAAAGAATTGCAGGCACTCCTTCTCCTCTCGGCTCAGATACTGCAGCGTGTTATCTTGCTTTAATGGTGAAGAAAAATAGAAAAACATTAGAATTTTGGTGATGAAGGATTTTATCTACCAAGCAAAGACTTTGTAACAATTCTTTTTTAAAGTTGTACAAAACAATCACATTTTTTCTCACCCTTGCATTTAATTTAAATGCTCCTCTGTTCATTTGGATGATTAATTCAGTTGTTTGTTGATTAACACGGAATATTGGTTGGTTAACATTGATTGTTGGTTGGTTAAAATGGATTGTTGGTTGGTTAAAATGGATTGTTGGTTGGTCAACATTGATTGTTGGTTAATACGGATTGATGGTTGGTTAACACGGATTGCTGGTTGTTTAACATTGATTGTTGGTTGGTTAAAACAGATTGTTGGTTGGTTAACATGGATTGTTGGTTGGTTAACATGGATTGTTGGTTGGTTAAAATAGATTGTTGGTTGGTTAACATGGATTGTAGGTTGGTTAACATGGATTGTTGGTTGGTTAAAATAGATTGTTGGTTGGTTAAAATGGATTGTTGGTTGGTTAACATTGATTGTTGGTTGACACGGATTGTTGGTTGGTTAACATGGATTGCTGGTTAGTTAACATTGATTGTTGGTTGGTTAAAATGGATTGTTGGTTGGTTAACATGGATTGCTGGTTGGTTAACATTGATTATTGTTTGGTTAAAATGGATTGTTGGTTGGTTAAGATGGATTGTTGGTTGGTCAACATTGATTGTTGGTTGACACGGATTGTTGGTTGGTTAACATGGATTGCTGGTTGGTTAACATTGATTATTGGTTGGTTAAAATGGATTGTTGGTTGGTTAAGATGGATTGTTGATTAACACGGATTGATGGTTGGTTAACAGAGATTGCTGGTTGGTTAACATTGATTTTTGGTTGGTTAAAACATATTATTGGTTGTTAACATTGATTGTTGGTTAACATGGATTGATGGTTGGTTAACACAGATTGCTGTTGGTTAACATTGATTATTGGTTGGTTAACATTGATTGTTTGTTAGTTATAAATGATTGTTGGTTATCTATAATCAGTTGTTGGGTGGTTAACATAGATAATAGGTTGGTTAATATTGATTGTCAAATGGGTAACTTTGTTAGGTAGTTATAATTGATTGTTGGATGGTATATATATAAAATAAACTTTTATCGTTAAGTATATATTTTGATTTTAATGAAATTTAATCACATTTGGTTGAAATGGTTTTGCTATTCTTCTTTTTTTATGCTATATTAGCTGTCCAATCCAACCACATCATGTTGGGTTAAAATCCAGGAGTCCTGAAGCTGAAGGAAGCTGCTTATTTTGAGCTTTTTGGAGGGTATGACATTCAGCTTGTTGTTGACACTGTGAACAAGTTTAGCTGCTGACCTCAGAGTTCTGTAAAAACCACCAGAACTGGGCTCTTTGTTTTGTTTTACACACAGAGCAGACCCCTGAAGCAACACCCAGCTGAAACCAGATAAACACCGACCGGCTGCTTTCAGCTGCAATGAATGACGTCTTTGTGGCAAAGCAGCTAAAGACTTAAAAAACTGCAGCTCGACCGGTTCGGCTGCGATGTGAGTCGATGATGAGCGTWGTTCTCAAGGCTCACAAAGAGATTAAGTGAGATTTCTCAGGGTTTCTGATGACGGTTCTGTAAACACAACACGAAGCCTGAAGCTCCGTTTATCAGCAGCTCATCTCAGGTTTGTGTTTTTGTCTTTAGAGGACAAAAAAAAGACTTTAGTCCAAGAAATGAACCAGATCTGTCTCAAGACGTGTCCTCAGTTTGACACCTGTGAGCTTCACATTTATGAAAAGAAGCTTTGGAGGAAAAATTAAAAACATAAATTAATGTAAGCTACGGAGAGGTTTGTTGTTTTAGCTAAAATTTATTTTAAGGAGCGCTGAAGAACTGCTGAGGTTTGCTGAAGAAGCTGAAACGGGACAGTTAGAGTAGCAAAAGGCTAGCTAAAATCAGAAGCAGAACACTAGCTAAAAGTAGGTAAATATTAGCTACAGGTTAACAACAAAAGACAAGCTAAAATAGAAAAAGAATAGCTGAGAGTAAGACTGAAAGCAAATGTAGGGCACTAGCTGAAAGTTAGCAGCAAAAGGCTTGCTGAATGCTAAAAATAATTAAAAGAAGCTAAAATATAGCAAAAAAGCTAGTTAAAAGTAGTAAAATCAAAGCTAGAAATAGGAAAGGCAAGTTATACAAAAATAGCAAGAAGCTAATAGAAACAAAAGACTGGCTGAAAGCAAAAGTGGAACACCAGCTAAAAAAAGAAAACAGCAGCTAAAAGTTAATAGGAATCCAGTAGCTGAAAGGTAAACGTAGTAAAAGACAAGCTAAAGGTAGCAAAGAAATAGCTAAACATAACAAAAGACTAGCATGAGACAAAAGCAGAACACTAGCTAAGGGCTAAAAAAATGGGCTCACAGAAAAGGCTAGCTGAAAGCTAAAGGTAGCAACTAAAATAGAAGCCAAAGCAGTAAAAGGATAGCTATAATGAGCAAAAAGCAGCTSAAATGCGAAGTTATTMTTAATTTTTGGTATTTTTGTTGAATTGATAAACATCTGGATTCAACCCAATTCAAGATGGCCGCCGCAGCTGGCTGACCACAGAGGCGTTAACTCTTTGATGCTCGTTGGTAACAGATGTTTGAAACAGGTTATTTATTTACAAAACAATAACAACCTTTCAAACACTCACGCCCAGTCTGGAGTTTTGACGGGCGCCGCCGTTGAGCCTGTAGAGCTGCGAGTCGCCCTGCAGACGCACGTCCATGACTCGGAGAGGTCAAAGGTCAGCTGGCATCTGGACCGGGTCGAAACCAGGATCGGCTCCTCTGAAGGATCATCTAATCTCTGAGGCTCTGGAGGAACATAAAGGAGGTTCAGGTTCAGCTCAGAGGTCAAAGGTCACGACCTTTAATGTGTTTTCATTTCAAAATAAGATGTGGAGCTAAAGAGTTTATAATCAAAACTCCTCTAAAATGATCCACTAGCTGAAAGAAAAATGAACTTTTAGAAATATGTAACGTTTTAATCTTTATGGTGGTTATTTGTTAGAAACTTATTTTATTCCACTGAAATTTGTGAAAATGTAATTATTTTAAAAGAAAATAAGAATTTATGCTAAACTAATAAAGATGTTCAAATAAACACGTTTGATATTTTTATATTTTTTGTTGTAGAATCCTTTAGCTGCAGATGTTCAATAAAAACGTCCTGAAGTTTGTGTTGAAACTGAAATATTTCAGGTTTAATCTTTAACCAGGTTTTATCTCTGCAGGTTAAACTCAGGGGGTTTATTTTTCTTCTGAAATGTTCAGTTTGTGTAAAAAGCTTTGGACTCAGCACCTGACGGACCGGTTCCACTGCAGAACCAGATCCTGGACCTGAACCCAGCCAGTTTCTGACACACGTTCCTGTCTGACGCTGATGAAACCAGAATCTGTTGGTTTTTGAAGCTCAAACAGAAACATTATTCAGGATTTCTCTGAAACAGGCTCAGTCTGGAGTCATTTACTGACCCGTTTTAAATTTAAATTAATAAATAGTTTTTTTAAGAACAATATTTTTGGCGTTACTGTTTGGTTTAGTGCCGATCTCTGAATATGAACTCATTCTGACAAAAGTGATATTT